TTAATTGTATTAATGCTATTTTTAAGACGAAGTGAGTACTTAAAAAAATTGTAGTGAAAAACAATCATGTATACTTGAAATATTACCATGTTACCATTTCACCTTTAAATTTTTGTTTTTTAATATTAGGGAATTTTACTTTTTACTGTATCTATGGCGTAGTTCGGGTAAATAGGATAAAATGTGCATGTAATATTGTCACTTTAATCAATCGTCATCAGTTTTTAATAATTTTTTAACAGACTCCTTCGATCGTATCATTTTTATGCTTGTTACCTCACACCTCCATCAGATGTAAACCGAATACAAAAAATCTTTGTTTATCTGAAAAGAATGTCGTTCAATATTTTACTTTTTAAATCAAAGTAACTGGTTTTACCACAATTAAATATTTTTTTGTGTATTGTTATACATATATATATAAAAAAATTACAAACAATTTGCACCTATGTTGAGTAGCCATTGCTAAGAAAAATATTTCTATATAGTACAAAACAAAGTCGCGTCCCGCCGTCTGTACGCTTAGATCTTTTAAATTACGCAACGGATTTTAATACGGGTTCCATCAATAGATAGAGTGATTAAAGATGAAGCTTTATATGTATCCTTTAATATTGCTTTTTTGTTAATTTATTGAAATATGACAGGAATTGATGAAAGAAATTGAAAAAGAAAAGATGTTGGATGAAATCAAGTCGACTGTGAGTTTTTATCAATAACACTGCGTAATCCGTTTGAGATATAACAAAACAATTTATGGTGGAATTGTTTATCTTTTATAGGTCTACAAAAAAGTTCGCGAAGGCATATGTCTATCTTTCAAAGATAGCTTACTATACCCATCTAATTAGTACTCGATGCAACAAGCTGATGTAAAAAATGTAAGCATATATACTCTACTACCCATGGGGGAAGGGATTGTTAGTAATGGGGAGGTTAGTCCCCATTGCTATCAATATACTTTATCAGGTCAACCTCCACGCGGTTCTCCCCGGAAATAATCATGACTAATCTATCGTTGAATTCGTCACGATGGGCTAACTGATCTACCTATTCAGCTCCACCAATCATCCCTCACTGGTGCCCCACCAGTGTATACCGATAGCACATGCTGGGTTTCCATTCCATTATCATCCATAACTACTCTCATGCAAAGACATTTTGGGTAATAACCCAAAATGCCTTTATATATTAGCCAATACTAGTGAGTATAAAATAAACTAGATTTTCATGAAATATTTACGTTACGGAACTATATACTGTTTTACGATTGCTAATTCTTAATTTAATAATATCATCAGTAAAATATGGCGGCCTCACAGAGAATTCTTTGAACCTACTATCATTCTATAGAATATGTCCCACTACAACTACTACGCCAAGCATCCTTTGCTCTATTGCATTACACTAATTTAAATTCTCTTGACTTTCGCACGCATCTATGTTTGTTTGTACGCCGCCATCGGGGGTGTATTAGTGAATATTAGGGTGCTGCGCATGTGTGCGATGCCCTAAGATGAATTAGGGGATTACACACACTGCATTATGCAACTGCACTCTGATTTTGCACGCTGATACCTCTACAGGATGAACAAAATCCATTATGCTTTATTTTATTGGCTCAATTCTTAATATAGACACGTAAAAACACGAAATTGGATTTAAAATTTACATATTAAATGGATCTTTTGTAAAAATCTTGGAATCGCCCAATTTAAATCCGACGCGGCGTTACGCTTCAAACAAAATCTGTATGCATGAAGTTTAAAACGTAATAAAAACACGCCGAAAATAAATCTCTGTACACGAATAAAACAATTACACAGACAATAATCCCGTTGTTTTTGTCAAACTGAAACCGTTTTATTGTGTCTTCTACACCCTATATCGCGCTGGGGTAGCATGCAACATCGAGGGGCGACGGGTAATGGCCTAAGAGTAATTTTATTACTTTGCCCCTATTACCATCACAATGTGCATGCCACCGGTCGAATACGATACGCAGAGACACTCGATACATTATGTCTAATTTCATCACTCACGAAAATTTTATCGATATTTCGAAATGCGAAGTGCGCGCACCACTAATTTAATTCCAGCCAAACTGGAACATCGAATACTCGGAGAATTTCAAGACGAAAGTTAAAAAATACGAATTCCAGAGTGCTCTGGAAAACACAGTGCGAGAGAAAAATATTTGCAGGAACAATTGAAAGGTAGCAAATTCGTTTTTATTATTAACGGCGTACAAGATATACACGGAGCGCAGAAATAAGATGGAGTTCACACCCCGGTACATACTGATTCGATTTGTTTCTGTTGCGATGAATATTTGATAAGGTTCAGTGCACACTAATTTGTTTATCGTGTTTCACGCTTCTGCTCTCCTTGTGTCTACCCGGCCAATATACAGAGCCTGTTACCTGGGTCGTTCAGGGAAAACAATTCCTTTCTCTTGTTTAATTTTTATAATCGTTCGGAAGGAAGCTTTATTTTGCAAATAAAAGAACTATTTATTGGAATTTCTTTGAATTTTCTACATTTCTTTTAGTTCTCTCTCACAGTAAATGGAAGGACTAGACAAATATTCTATTTAGTTTAGGTATATCTCTTCATGACCATCGAATTAAGATATTTTTTAATTTGAATTTGATACCCCTTTACGAGGTCATCAAAGAAGAATTGAAAAAACAAATACCTCTTTTAGTAAATTAGGAACTGCACAAACTTATCAAACCCGCTTTCTCACTCTATTTTTCTCAATCACTAATTCTCTCAAAGTATCTTCGTCTCTTTCTCCTTTTGGATAATTAATTGATGACAAATCTTTCAATGCAAAATGCTCTCAAAATCCTAAAACTGTTCATCAAAGGATCGCTTTTTGTTTTTATTACATAAATACGATGACAGCCCTGGGCATATCGGATATTAAATACGTCACTCTTGGAGACTCCATCCAATCTACGTACACATACTTCTTGTTGCGATCATTAAGAGTCGGATAATTATTACCTTGTACTCGTAACATATGAATAGACGATTTACGTATTAATTTTCTTCAATGCACTAACATTACTTATCTATTTTAATGCAACCAATGTTCAACTTTGTCATAATAACGACTATCTCACGCCAATCTCCACACTAGCCTAGTTATGTGCCAACTTGGCCTTTTTAGTATTCGAGTAGGTAACTTTACTCGTTAAAAATAAAATTGAAATCTGACTCGAGTCCAAGGACTCGAATAATTAATCAAGTATTTGAATAGGTATTCGTATACATTATTAGATTCGAGTATTTTTCAATGGTTGTCTGAAATTTACGTTTATGTTTAGTATTCTAATAATTTTTTCTTTGATAATTAAGGAAATATTATTAAAACTAGCTTAAACCGCTAATTAGTAAGTGAGTTACATCTTACGCGTGAATTTAAGAAGGAAAACTAATAATTTTAACCACTTCTCGATGGGGTATCAAAATAGAAGTAAAACATACATCAGACTTTAGGAAAACAACCATGAAAATTACATCCAATTTCAACGATTCCAACAACAGACCAACAAAACTTCTTTAAATTAATGTTTTGGCATCTATTGGTCTTCTCATATTAATTTGTCTTAAATATCTTATATGTATGTCTATAAAATTGTGATATAGACACATCTAGTCACAATTTTATTACATTAGTATATGCATAAACTAACTTATGTTTATCAAAAGTTTACTTATGCACACAAGTAGTGTTAGAGTACCGCAAGTACTCGAATAGTTGTGTACCTGTAAAATATTCGAGTCAGTAATCGAGTGAGCTTCGCTCGGCACGTCACTACAGTACCCAGCGATGGTGCGTATAAAACGAGACACTCCAAGAAATAATTAAGCGTAGGTACCAAAGATACGAATCAGTGGTGTGGCAGGTGATTAAATAAATACAAGTTGGCATTTCTAATTAATATGCCAGACGTACGGCTGATAAGCGGGCGCTAGTCGGCGCGACATCTCCAGCGATTTCTAACTGCCTGGTACTTCGCGATTAACACATTATTATAATTACGTGAAATTTGTCTTCCCTGCGTTTCTTACATGTGTTCCGAGCTTATCAAACAGCGAAGAAACCTTTGGTGTTCTTGATCCTTTTTTTTATCTGGTAATTTTGGTATTTAATGCTTACTTTTTTTTATGTACAAACACAAATCATTTTAAATGGATCCAAATCTAGTGTGATTTTCTTGGGCAAAGCACGTCTAATTTTTTCGATTAAGCTACAAGGCTTGCGTTACTCTGTTTTAGTAAATTGTAGTATAGCCATAAGAAAAGGGGTTACTTGAGAAGATTATTAGTGATTAAGACTAATAGTTTCATTGCCAAATAGCAATATACCTTGTTAGCCTTTACGCTATTCTTTTTGGATACCATTGTAGTTAATTTCTGATTATTTGTTCGTCAATTCATTACAAAGGACCAACTGATCAAGCTTCATCCCAACCTGATAACTATCTATTATTGAACATAGGTTTTCCCCATAGACTGTCATTAGGAATGGTCCCGAGCCACCTACATCCTAGTTGATGCTCTACCTATTCTATCACCAAAAGAAACTCCGAACATAGCTTTCTTAATAGCTTGCTGAGCAACCTGAAGCTTCTGAATATGACCATGTCTATTCCGACTCCATTTATATCCTCTTAAAAACGTTTCCAAGAGTACTGATGTATATGAGGTGCCATGGTTCTTATAACATAGTTAGCATATGTTATAGTGGTGACATGGTAGTAGTCCGCGACATACTATTTATACCACGATTCGTTGATTTCTGCTTAAGCTGCTTCGTAGATTTACGAAGCTGTAAAATTGACTTTACGCTATATGAAGCATCGGCTTATTAACTAGCAATACTTATAGAAAAAACTTCTATTATCCTCTCATCAAAGTCACAATCCGACAAAAAAGTTGCATTAAAATACATTAAATATTAAAAAGGAATTATTGTTTGTCTACAGGAGATGCTAGCAATGCGAGTATCGGCTCTGGGGAGGGCACAGGCGAAGAAGACGATGACACTAATGGCAAGAAGAACCAAAAGAAGAGAGGGATCTTCCCGAAGGTTGCGACGAATATACTGCGGGCGTGGCTTTTTCAGCACTTAACGGTAAGTTTTAAGTTAATTGTACATATTTAATCATCATCATGATAACAAACCACTAACTGTCGACTGCTGAATATAGGGCTCTTCCTTGATGGGTTTTGCCAATAGTTACCAGGCTTTAGCAAGTGGATTGGCAATCGCAGGCAGACTTTGGTGATGCTTTAAGGACGCTACCTCTACCATTAAGTTTCTTTAATCGCCTAATATAATGAAACTAATATGTATGGGAATGCCTACATCTATATTTTGAATCAGTTACAGTTATACAGCGAGAACTATACGAGTAGTATCGTTAATTAAATATAGAAAGCCAATAGAGATTTGGATGAAGAGCGGTAAAGAATATAAACAGGAAAGTAAACAATGACCAATATGGAGTCATATCTATTTTTATGCGTGCAGTGCAATAAGAAAATTGTTTGTTTATTTAATAAAATTTGTTGGTTTAATAATTGTTAACTTACCACTGCACGCATTAAATTAATGTGTCGCCTCACAATCTTCGTCATTATTTATCCTAATTTCTATTTGTTTATATATAAAATCATTTTTGTCTAATAATATTGTCAGTTGGGAGTTAGTTACGTGTTGGATGACCAACTTCGTCGTCTTAATAAATAACTTGCAACTACCAACATTGTAAGTATTTAGATGGATACTCCTTATTATTCCCTCCAAAAGATTACAGTAGTAAATCCACAGTAGTGTATCTACGTCTTAATTTCTATTAATATTACAGAAATAATATTCGGCTTGAACAGGTTTGCCATGATCGAGAGCTTGACAGTATTGAATGAACGCACGAAAGTTGCAGTAATAATGAACTTTGGTATAGCAAATATGAGAATGTTTATTGAATTTCACCGGCATTTGTTCGTCCCGCAGCCGTTGCATTGAGGCTCTAAATCCACAATGTAAGCTGAAATTGCTATAAAATGCCTACATACTGCTGCTATTGTATAGAAGTTTTTAAAAAACATCCACAATGTGGCTGCGAAACGTCACACTCGCAGTTCCGCGGAATTGTGCCGCGGCCTGCCTCCGTTGTGGAGCTTTTCAATTAAAATTTCCCGCGAGAGCAATAAATTTTTCATTGCGTAGACAAAGCCCGCTTTCAAAGGGTACAAACACCGCTTCTAAGGACTGAAAATACAATTACGTAACTCTATTCGACGCATACAAATCCGATACAGGATCACATTACGAGATTGATGACTTTAGAAGCAAAAAATTTAAACCATTAGCATAAGACGTTATTGAAGAGTTGCGAGTTGAGACAGTCGAGTGCACGGCTCACTGTTGCGTAGTAATTTCTAGAATGGCTTTTCGCGCAGGACGAGGGTGGCGGTGGTGCGGGGGGTGCAATTTCATTACCGGTCCGGATCCGCGCCCATAAATCACCAGGCCGAAGAAGGCGCTCTGTTCGCTCAGCGCAGTTCAGGTGACGCTCGCAAAGTCTCCTGAGCCTGGTATTTCTGTTTCATTCTCTGTGAGCCGAGTCGAATCCTACTTTCTTTATGACTATGAATTCCACGAATTTCCGAGACGATCTTCTCGAATTACTTACAAGTGCGAATTTTAATTACAGCTTCGGAAAACCTTTTACAATTAGCCCACCGGCTGAATTATTGAGACAAGAATTTATTTCGAATTTCATTTTAATATTCCCGATGCTCGTCGCATTTCGAACATTTTAAACTGAAAGATTTATTTTCAGCCAACACTTCCACAGTTCGAACTTTAAAAAGTAACCGTCGACAATCGAATTAGGGAGCTTTTAGCGCGTTTCGTTTAGCGCGTTTTTGCGCATCGCTGTCCACGCCCATTACCGCGTTCCAAATTACTTATAATTGCTTCGCTTAGCGCTAAGTGCTTTCATTACGAGTTCCCTGTAAAACAGTTCCGGTATAGGTCGGGACATGTCAATTTTAACTCTACAGTTCTCCCTAATACATTTTTGAACAGCGCCGAAATATCACGGTCACAATTATGGGCATGTTGAATTTAAGCTGCATATTCCTAAAACGTTCATCTGTTTTATGTAATCCGATTGGTATCAGCCGGACGTGGACAATGCTTCAAATTGGCGTAAAAAGATCATTCGACCCACATATCGGGCATGAAACTGCATAGCTGTCAACGTGACATTTGTAATATTCATTCGATTACGCGTCGCGGGAAATGGAACGCCGCGCGGTGACAGCGCACCACCTGCGTCCGCCACTGTTTGAATTCAGAACGGCCCAGCCCTGGTCGGCGCGTGTTCGATATTTGATTGAAACAAATGAATGCAGTGTTGTACTACAAAAGCACGAGATCACATATGGAACGTTTTGATTTGCGATTAAAGTTCGGCAACGCGCCGCGCCTGATGGAATGGAATTGAAGCTTTGAATTAATTCAGCATGAACGCGACCAAAAAGGAAAGTGAACGATCTCGCACAAGCTCGAAATCGGACACGGTTGAATTTAAATTCAGTACAGTTCCATCGATATTGGTAACAATCCCGGCATACACTGCTGCGGCTGCTTGAATTTTAAACTCGCCTGTGACCCGTGTAATACGAATAGCGTTTCGAATTTCAGTTACCCTGATTTACATCCATTGTCTCAGTTATGTTATAGCGTATATCGCGATACGCTATCAATTGCATTTCGAATCTTAATAGCTAATGGTAGTCATTTGGATGCTAATGACTACAGCGGCGTGGAGTTAATTTAAAATCCAATACCAATGTAGATACTCGCGAGCGACAGAGCAGAGAGAGCGCCTGTTTTAAACATTGTTAATCATTAATTCGTTTGGATACGTACCGCGCTAAATCTCACTTAATACTTTATACCTGAGACGTGTACGGTCGCCCTCCGAAAATTCCCAAGAAATAATATTGAATAACGTTGGAGTCTTACGACAAATCCTACGTTGCGACCGTAAGCCCTTCCAGGGGGCTAAAAATAATTATAAGGCGGGTAATCCCGCGACAGGGTCCCCGCGGTGCGCGAACATCATATTGTTTTTGGATGTTTGTTTCTACGTGTTTCTTGATCTGCTGGTATTTATACAGTCCTGGTACATTGCGAGTTAATTTATTGTCATAACAGATAAAGTGTCCCTTTGTATGAAAATCTTTGCAAATCTAAATATAAAAATAACTTTCCTTTAAAACATTGGTTATTCATTATACAAGCTTATTTAGAAAATGTACCCTGCATGATTTATAGGAACTACCCTTTGTAGTATTTAATCTCTCGATCTTAATGATTATTATTTGTTGCTTTACGTTGCAACTTAGCTCAAAAACTTATTATGTTTTGACCCTTCTTTACATAAAGATAATTGAGTTAAAAGTACTATTTAAAAATAAGTCTGTCTATTTTCTAGTTAGTCAACATCATCGATTGGTTTAAACCAAATCTTTTCTCTTTTCCTATTTGACGTTAATAAATCTCTTAACTGTAAAAGTTAACTCTCATCAATCCATAATGGTATTTTCCATTATTATTCAATATATTATTTAATACCATAAATATTGATGAGTATTTGAATACCTTGAATTTTTATTTAAATTTAAATACAAACTACAAGTCATCTATTTTTGTAGTCGGTTAATAAATGCTAATAATAACCGCATCAGGACATCATAAGCACAGGACAAGCAGATATTGCGAAATGCGGAATTCCTAGGCGCACGGCACAGTGTTGAGTTACGTCGGTATCGGGTTCGCTTTGAGAGGCACCGCAGTGGAATGGGAGCCGCGGATAAACGCTGCCAAAGAATTTATACCTTATTTATGCACATAGAGACGAGATATACCATCCGCTGTGTTATGCGAGCCTGGTACTTTACGATTATTACATGAACATGTCAAGCGTTAATATAAATGGAAAATAACTGTTTTAATCGCGTTAGAAGAATGATTTTTCTATAAATGGCGACTGGACCGGGTAATATTTGCGATATGTACGCAATGCACGTATGTTTATGGTATCCGTGGATTTGAATCGCTAAAACAATGTCGAAAAATCATGCCGAGTAAACTAAACAACCTGAGATGAAGAACTAATGGCCTATAATTTAAGCAAACAGCATATGTATATAGTAGATACATCAATTAAAGAAGTGTATTATGAATAGAAAGTATGCATTCTTACTTCGTATAAAGAAATATAACACTAACTAGATGGTCTTGAGATTAGGACACATAAAGTATAGTAAGTAAGTATAGACATGATGACACGTTCCACTTGACAACGTAATTTTATAGAGTTTAAGCTGATCCAAATGTACAAATGAATTCGTACCTACCTTTACTGTAATTTCCATTGCCGAGTTTGTTATAATCATGGTTGTGCAATAAACTTATTATTATTATAGTTTTAAAACTAACATTAGACTTTTTTGGCGGGTGAAATCAAATGGTAATTTCGCCTGGTTGCTGAACTGGCGAAGCAGCAGTGAAAGATGATAGATGAGAATGAAAATAGGTTAGCCCATCGTGACGAATTCCATAAGAATTAACCACAATGGTTTTCAGGGACCGCGCGGAAATCGACCTGATAAGGTATATTGCTGGCAATGGAGTTGTTAGATTCTATTACTAACAATCCCTTCCCCTTCTATCAACGTCAAACTAGATTATACAGAATTTATTATTTCATATCATTTGATAACAGGAAATAATATTTAGAACTTGTGAATTCAATGTTATCAAAATTATATCAATATCAAATCACTTTTTAAATTACAAAAATATTGAAAATTGTTATAATCATCCATGTTTGGCGTGTGGTCCCGGCATAGAATAAGCCATCCCTGTCTTTCCTGTAGACATCGTAAGAAGCGACTAAGAGAATTTAAAGGTCGAGAGATGGACAGCAGCGTCCCTCTTAAGACATCTCCAAAGCCTAACTACGGTTACAAGTAGTTGCCACGCTTGGCAGGCGGATTCGCAATACTTTTTAAGGAAGAGGCCCATGTTCAGCAGTGGACAGGTAAAGGCTG